CGTGTGTTTCCATTCGCTCGTAATATATAGATATAAGACTCGGTATCATGGGCTTGAGGTCTGTCCCCAATGGCGTATACACTCATTCTGTCGAAAAACATACCTGTGATGCGGACATCCGTATTAAGTCTTTGATTATTGAGATTTCTGTACCAATGAATCCCTTGAATGTCACTCCAAAGCAGTTCCGATCGTTGGCTATCATCGGCGTGTCTGATGTAATAGACTTGATATGTCTGCGGGTTGTAGGCACTGGATCGGGATGTGTTGGGCTCACTGTTCCACTCTTGCGGCCAAATGAATGAAATTGAATTCTCGTTCAGAGCCCACGGCATGTCGGTTGGTGAGACACGAGATACCGGGTCAGTGGGCGTAACCTTATGGACAACCGTTACCTCAGAACCCGATTGATAGCTACGAGATCTGACAAAAAACAAATTCACGGCTTTCGACATATAATTGCAATAATCAGGGCCTAAGAGACCGCAAATGGGAATCGTTGTTATATAAAAACTGGTCATAACTGTCGTGTCTAGTGATCAGAAAATTATTATAGATTTTTAGTCATTTGATTTTAAACCCATACCTTGATTATCGGTACTCTCCATCTCCGGGGGCTCATCGAAAGTCATAGTATTGGGATTGTATCGCCACAACCACCGCGACCTCTGATTAACCATTGATTTAATTTGTATTGTCTTTCCAAAGTTAAATATGCCGTCGAAATGAGAGGTCTCACAAAATTTGGGCACATTTTCCGTACAAATCATGTCTCTAATGAATAGTGCTATCAGTAAAGGAGTCACTAGTTTGGGAATAGTAGCCATATTTGTGATCAAATCTAGTGATAATCTATTTTGTAATAAGTTTTTACCGTTAAGTAGATTAATAATTCAAATTACAGAATTGTATTTATTAATGCAACAATTATGTCATTTATAAATTAACGTACATTTTATTTCAAACTGTTAAACAAATAATTAAGCAAATCATTAGTACATTGAAATTATCACAAAAATCGATCCAGAAGTCAATCACAGCATAAATGAAATCGATTACCATAAGTACGGTAATAAGAAATCAAAGAGATTACAGTAATTCAATGGAAACAATGGGATTTGAATTACAAATCAAACCAAAAAAGAGGATTAAAAAACCAAAAAACAAAATCAAATACAATTAGAAAATCAATCGATTATAAGACTAATCACGGATTATATAATGTTATGAAAGGAAAGGACTAAACGGACAGTCGGTCTAACAGTAATAGAAGTGATTGCGAAGCGAATCGTTGACTTTGATGCGTGCGTTCAACTCGAGGGCCACTCTGTGCTCGTCGTCGCCGTCGTATTGCTTCTCCAGAGTCTTCATGTGTTGGTTGCGGGCTATGATGTGATCCTTGGCTCGTTTGGCGGCCAAATGGGCGTACATGACGGGTATGGGCACCGACAGCGACTTCGTTGAGCGCACGTATGCGTGACACAAGTAGTAGGACAAGCGCTCGATGGCGTCGAAAGTGAACCCATTGTCGTCGTGAAGCACCACATACTTGGCCGGACGGCTCGTCCCCTAAAAACATCAAAAATAACTAATAAAAAGCAAACAATAAAACAAAACCCAAGCATACAATGGCCCCCTCGTGACTGCACAGGTAGTACTCGAATAGCACGGGATCCACAATCTTCGTGTCGACGACAGTTCCCGCGGGAATGTTACCAACTTTGCTAACGTCCTTATCGTAGGGATTCTGAGGCATGAGTCGCGTGTTGTGTCGCTTCTGGACGACAACGAACGTGATCTTCGGCTTATAGTTGAGGTCAATGGTGGCACAGGCGGCCAACAGCTGCTTGTGCTCGTGTCGGAGCACGTGCTCGAACTGGCCCTGAGAGACGCCGTCCCGGAACACCACCAAACTCGTGGGCAGGTTCTGGTTATTGGCTTTCACGCCCTTATAGGCGTACAACAGCTCCACCACCATGTCTTTGAACGCCAGTATCATCTCTTCTTTGCTGCGCTTCTGGACCCGAATGGCGGCCGAGTATCTCGTGAGCTGCGGGTCATAACTGCCCACAAGTGCGGCCACCGACGAGAACATCCTGTCGGCCGGCGCCGGGTGTGTGACGTCGGCGCCGATCACCATCAGACCCGTCGTAAACACGAGTGGCTTCGTGTCGCGGATCATCGTATTCTTGCCGTCGAGTTTGCCATTGATTTTGAGCAACAGATTCCTGACACAACTCCTGACCATAAGATTACTGATTTTCATGCATTGGGTCATCACTCCCACGTCGATGTCCGCCATGTGTTTGATCTGATGGTACGTTCCATCGCCGTATGGGATGCAGAAGACCACGAGTGGCGGAAGTGTTGGCAAACATTTAATTTTCTCGAAAACCAATTTAACGGTATCCGCGCCCCTGTAGTCCACTTTCTTAACGAACGGTTTGCTGACAGTGATTCCCATTCGCTTTGCCTCTGCGGTCAACCGACTAATGAAGTCCTCGACATTACTGTCGTGATTGGCGTCAAAGTGGGGCGCAATCGACACGAAGAACCAATCGGACAGCGGTTTCGCTTCGAAGAGTTTGCGGTCGTCGCCCATACAGACAGGTTTGTCGAGCACTCGGGCGTTGAACTCAATGGGTTTGGTGTCGAGAGAGATCCCCAACTCGTCGAACAGGTCTTTGCTTTCGGTGGCGATCTTATTGACGGTGTCCTTCACGAACTCGAACCGCTCTTTAGGTCTCTGTT